CAATGTAGATGAACTGACCGATGATAATAAATCTCACCTACCTGTACTCACAACAACAGCTTTGACTTTTTCACTTCCATAAAATCGAGTTTGTATGACCTCAGTTCCACAGAACAGTGTATGCCTTTTGTATTCATTTGAATTATAAATTAATTGTCCTTCTTCTACAGAATGTGGTAATGGTGTCTTAGTTACTGGTACTGATTCACCTTAAATGTCAGACAAGTTTGACAAACTTGATTAATAACAAATGGTTTTCTCAGTATCTCATGTTGGTGTATACTCTCCAGTATATACAATTTTTGAGATACAGCTCTGAACATGCCACACACGAGCAGACATAAACATTCAAACAAACACACACATTTGGACACCCACACACATGCAGACCGACCCACACATGCAAACAGACGTAAACATTCAAACAAACACACACATTTGGACACCCACACACATGCAGACCGACCCACACATGCAAACAGACATAAACATTCAGACACACACATTTAGACACCCACACACATGCAGACCAACCCACACATGCGAACAGACATACACATGCAAACAGACACACACACCGACACACACATGCATACTCAGAGAATAAACCTAAAACGCCCATTTAGAACAAATCAGAGTCCACCTTAGTGAACAAAAAATATTCATAATCAGCTCATAGAAAATAATAGTTTTAGTAAGCTTTTCACAATGTTCCAGTCTACAGGATATAAGTTCTGCCAGTATTCAAAGAAATAGATCAAATACGAGAAAATGATACCTCATCAAAAACATCCAAAATAGCTGATATTAATCACATGTTTCTAGACTATTTAGAACATATCAACTATCAGGATCACATACCTGTTAACATACTCTCATTTACAATACAGTTACCACTGAGTAAGACAGCATCACAGGTCATTGAACAGCCATGAGGTGGTATAATCAACACATCACCAGGAACTAACTCACGTTCCCATACATCTTCTATATCTATTTTTCAAAACAGAGATATTATACTAGTACAGATTGAATATGACCTGGTCAATCATGAAAACTGAAAATATATCATTGAAATAATATTTAAAATAGTGACAATGACAGAAAGATGTGTCTTGGTTTTGTATTAGTGTGCAGCATTTCTATAACAAAACAATGACAGAAGTTGTTTTTAAATGAATTGCATACAGTATTCCCTGAAATTCAGCATTTTTTTCTCACAATTACATATTCTGACAGTCACTTTTTCAAACATGGTTGTAAATAACCACAATTAGGGAGCACAATGTGTTTAAAGAAAATTGCCATAAATAGATCTTTTGATGTGTTCAATAATTGTTCATACCTCCATTGCCTCTACTGACAGTCACACTGCATGACGATTTGACCATATCATGAAGCATAACACTTTGCTATGGAACAAGTAAATAGATCAACGTTTTGAAAATAAAATATAAAATGCAAATTATCAGTACAGTGACAGAAGAGGACCACTACCATAGTATGTGCTAACTGAATAAACACTTAGCAAATTAGCGAACTCATTAGTAAAGATAGACATTGTATCAAATAACCAAAGTGTGAAATAGAGTGCATGCACTAAACTTACATTTATTATTTGCATGAGCTTTTAACAAAGCAAATATGTTAACTCCCTTACCTTATGAGAAAATATTAAAGAAACAAAGATAGATATAGCAGACATGAAGACAATGCAAGTAGCATAAGCATAGTATTCATCAAAAAACCAAAGGCAAATACTGAAGAGTTGAAACATATAGAAAGGATGCAAAACCTAAGCAAAAATTAGAGGAAAACATGCAATAGGAATAGGGTTAACTAAAAGATAATACCATATATGGCATCATTTGCATATTCAGTTATTAAATCATGATTGAATGGACTTCACTTGGATACTGAAGTGAATCCATGCAAACAAGGTTAGTAAAAAAAAAAGACACTCTGCCTTGTAACATTGCACTCAAGGTGGCACTCATGTCCATTAAAGAAAACCAAAAGTAAGAATAAATTGGCGAGCGTGTAAAAACATGAATGAATTTTTAATTCACTCTGGATTACTTGTCTGATGTAATTTGTTGTCAGACTAGTATTTTCCATGTCATTTATGTTTGGTGAAAATAAGTAAAATTATTGTTTTTTGTTGTTGTTTTATTGTTTATTAACCACTGCCAATTACTTACACTAACTGGGTGATATTTAGATTCTGTTTTACTTAGACAAATGTGGGTTGATACTGAATCATGGAGTGAAACCTGTTGAACATTAGTGAATGAATCTTGGCATGTGGATTTATCCTTCCTATC